AAAATTAAAAAAAAAAAAAAAAAGAACCACTTGGAACGTTCAGAGGTGATAAACCCTGAGCAGGATAAACACAAAGAAAATCACCCAAGGCACATAATCAAATCATGGAAAACTGGTGACAAAAATCTTAAAAGCAGTTGGAGAGAAGAGGTGAATACAAACAGTTACAAAGATAAGAAAACAAGAGATTTCTGGGCTAAGACAATGCAAGCTTGAAGACAATGGAACAAAATCTTTAAGGTAGTAAAAGAAAAAATACCATCAACCTAGAACTGTGTGTGCAGTGAAAGATCCTTCCAAACTAAACTAAGATGAAATAAAACCATTTTCAGACAAATAAAAGCTGAGTGAGTTCATCGCCAGCAGGTCCGCAGTCAAAGAAGTGTTACTGGTGTTCTTCAACTGAAAGGAGAATGCCGTCAGGTGCAAACTTAGATCTATGAAAGGAATGGAGGATGTGTAAATGGTAGGTGTGTCACATCGATTTTATTTTAAATTTCTTTTATAAATCATAGCGTAAAGAAAATATAGCAACAAGATATTGTAGGGTATAGGACATCTGTGGAAGAAAAGTATATGACAACAATAGCGCAAAGAACAGAGGGGGGAGAAATAGTGGTATGTGCTCTAAGAGTTTCATTTTTCCATGAAGTGGTATGATGATGTTTGAAGGTACTTGTGGTAAAAGATGTGCACTGAACCACAAACAAGGAGGTATAGCTAAAAAGCCCACAAAGATGAAATGGAGTCATTTAAAAATACTCAGCCCAAAAGAAGGCAGGTGAAGACAGAGACGGGAACGGAGAGCAGGTGGGACACTGGGACTCAAGTGGGAGCCGACAGATGTAACCACAACCATCACGACTGGGTAAAAGGCAATGACTGTGCAATTGGATTAAGAAACCCAACTATATGCAGTCTATGAGAAACACAATTCAAATTTAAGACTTGGCTTAAAAGTAAAAGAATCAAGAAAGATACCAGGTGCACACACTAAGCCAAGAGCTGGAGTGCGGTGTTCACATCAGACAAAGTGGATTTTATAACCAGAAATGTTACCAGAGATGGGCATTTCCCAATGGAACAGGGGCGGATCCTTTGGGAAGACATTAATCCTAACCGTGCTTGCACCTGGTAACAGAGACTCGAAATACGGGAAACAAAACTGACAGACCTAAAGGGGAAGTGGACAAATTCACGACTAGAGTTGTAAATTTTAAGACTCTTCTGTCAGTGATGGAACAAGTGAAAAGAGAACCAGTAAGGACACAGAAGACTTAACAACTCCACCAACCACCCTGACCGACTGACAGTGGAACACGCCACCTAACGCAGAAGGACGCACCTTCCTGTGAGGTGCACGTGGAATGTTCACCAGGACACACATGAAACAAGACTCTAAATGTAGAAGGATTGTAACCACACAGAGTATATTTTCTAACAACAGAATTAAATTAGAACTTAATAAGAGAAAATATTTG